TAGGGACAGTACAAGTTGCATTTGAGAACTCTCTAAGCCCACAAGATATGAAAAAGTGGACTATAAAATTAATAGATGCACTAATTCTGACTCAAGCTGGTTGAGTTGGGAATCTGAGATGGGTGCTGGGGTGCCACTCAGTGGTAGAGCATTTATTTGTATAGCATGGGCAAGGCCCTGGGCTTGATTCTTCCACTGAAAGGAAGAGAGGGAAAGGGAAAAGAGGAGGAAGGGAAGAGAAAGGAAAAGGAAAGGAAAAAAGAAAGAAAATCAGAGATGGAGTGGGTTGTAGTATTGGTGTTCCATTCAAAGTCACTTCATTGTGCCTCACAAACTCCTGGTCAACCCCAGGCATCATCTCCAGGTTGGTGTCAGATGAAGTATTTGTCTTGTGCTTAGCAACTTGATAGGTTTCTTTACCATCTGGATCTTGGTCAGCTTAGCACTAAGCTCAATGGCCAGAGATGGCAGAAGTGAGGTCAAATTCACATCTTTCATCTCATGTCCACACTGGGTGAGGGTCCCCAAATGCAACTGTTAGTGGGAGACTCCTGCTCTATAACTAAAGTACTTCCTTCTAAAAAATATGAGATTTAAGACTCAACAAAAGAACTTGGCCCATATCACAACTACTTGGAAGTAATGAAGAAATCCTCCCTAGCTCAGGTCTTTGGAACCCCCAGGGCCTAAGTGGATTCATTACTTACTTGTAGTTTGATTAACCACAGCAGATAAATACAAAGTTTAGACGAAGGTGTACATTTGGGTGAATAGTGATATGGAACATTAAATGATGAACTAAACTAACTATTTCAGCATTGCAAAGACTCTAAAAACTTAAAAGAATGAGTCAAAGACTACCAAAGAAACAGGTTTGTTAGTGTTTCATTTTGGTTTTTGGTAATGCTGAGGATCAAACTCAGGGCCTCCTGCATGCTATGTTAACACTCTTCCACTGAGATACACCCCAACCTAAAACATAGGTTAATAGTGGATTTATTCAACTATGTGAGTGGTCCATAGACTATCACTACAGGCAAAAATCCTGTTTTTATAAAGTTTTATGGGAACACAGCCATGTTCATTGATTTCTGTATTATCCAAAGCTGCTTTTATGCTACAGTGACAGAGATAAGGAATTGCCACAGAGACCATATGGCTTGCATAGCTAAAAATACTCTCTGACATTTCACAGGAAAAGTTTTCTAACCTCTGAACTAAGTCAGGACGAAACTAGGATAGAATAAAAGTGCTATGAACTAGTCATATTTGTTAGTCAAGATGGACAATTCTCAAACTGTGACTCAAAAAACTAAATCCTTTGGTTATTAAGTTATTCTGTAAAAGTGGATTCAAAGGACCAAGAAGTCTAGGAAAGTCTTGGAAAATGACTTACTAGAGGATTTATTGTCCTTCAATCTGTCAGTATGCACTAGGTGTCTTCAAGTTGAAGTGCAGGGTATCATATTATACAGTATATATCCAACCTATTAGATCAGTAATGTGCACACGTAGAACTAAGCCAGTAGCCTCACAATGATCAGCAAGTTGTACTTTTACTATAACCATGGAGATGTGGAGGAAGATGGAAAGGAGAGCAATCCTGCCAAGACTAGGAAAAAAATATCATTTATTTTCTTTCTTGATCATTGCATATTTTATATATAAGATAAAAATAATCAAATTGTTCTCCTCCAAAAACCTAGCAGAGATCAACTCATCTATGGATGACCCCATCTCACGGTAGGGTTATAGCCCAATAAACTCAGTTGAAAATGTCATTTAAGTTGAAAATCCACTTAATACAACTGACCTATCACACATCTGAGCTCAGCAAGAGTACACTGTAGAGATGGGTTGTTCCCCATCATGATCACAAGGCTGATTGGGAGCTGTGGTTCACGGCTGCCACCCAACATCAAAAGAGAGAATCAGAATAAATATTGCTAGCCCAGGCAAAGATCAACACTCAAATTTCAAAGTCCAGTTTCTAATGAATGTGTGTCACTGTCACACCACCATCAAGTCAAAAACTCCTTAAGTTGAACCATTGTAAGGTGGAAAATGTTTGTACTATAAAACTTCAGAAGATATAAATTCTTTCAGCTGTACTTAGTATATGGTACAATAAAGTGCCCTTCCTAGCCTAAACCTGGGTCTTTCAAGAAACCAAATATGCCCTGTGATGCAGAGTAACCATGAGAGAATGGAGCATCCCTCTATGCAATCTTGTGCCCAGCATTTGGTGTATAATTTTAACAGCTTTGCACACTGTGCCTTGAGTTTTTTGTTCCCATTAACTATGAGCTAAATGTCTGCTGGAGCAATTGTATCCCTTCTAGTGTTAACAAAAGAACATATGCTATTGCACTTGCATCTCATTAAGCTCTTCAAATATTAGAGTTGTAGGAGACTTGGTATTTCTACAGAAAGAAAAAATTAAGTGTATTCCCGTTAGCAGCATGAGACAATGTGTTGGTTATTAATATAAACTATTTGCAAATGAAATGTTCTATGACCACTCTTCCTTTTTAACTCAAAAGGGTAGAATCGCATGTTAGTCAACAGACTGATGACCAAAGCCCCTACTTGGGACACTGTCCCCAAAGAAAAGATTCAGCACACAGGAGTACAATCCACACTTCAAAGCATCCATGTCAGCTTGATCCGGTCAATCAGATGTGCTCCAGCAACAAAAATTCCTTGGCACTGAGTCCCAGGAATGGCTTTGACTCATTGGAAGTGTCGGAGAGCGCCTTGGTTTAACCTAACCAACTCTGGTAAAACTCTAACCATGTCTACTATCCTGAGCCCATTCAGATTCTGCCTGTTTTAATTCACATAAGCACATTAAGGCGGGTGCTGTTATTATCTCTCTTTTTCAGAAGGGGAAACTGAGGCAGGGGACAGGTAAAGGAGAGGGGTTGGGCCTAGATTTTGTGTTTTAATCATGCAGTATGGTCTCAAGTTTTGCTTTTCCTCCCAAGACTTGTTTTTTTTTTAATTAGTTACACATGACAGTACAATGATCTTGACATATCATACATTTGAATCAGATGGGATATAATTTCTCATTTTTCTGAGTGTACAGGTAAGACTTGTTTTTTTTTAATCCCTCAATTCCATGAACTATTTCAACATCCTTCTGACTCTTCTGCTTAAGCGATACAGAGTTGGTTTCTGTTACTTGCGACCCGAAGAAATTTAATGGAGAAAGCACTCCTCTCTTTTCCCAGTGAGATTTCTTCTGTAAACCACATCAAAGGATATCAAAGTAACCATCAGTAGCCACCATCAGTGCCTAAACTCTACAATGCAGAAATAGGTGAAAATGTCACAGATGGGGAAGAGGGCTGGAACAAGGGATCCCTGAAGTCAGCATCACACCAACTATAGGTTCGCACCTACTCACTGCCCATTGTTAAAATTCTCCCCTTTTCACAACTTCCTTGCCAAAGTATCTCTGTCCCATTCAGCAGCTTACTCTATGATGGTAGAGTCAAGGCCAGTTATTCATCTACCTGGGCGCTCAGAGCATCCTCCCAATTTCTGTTCCTCCTTCCATAGTAGGGAAAAGAGTTAAGCGAAATATGTCCCTTAGCAATTTCCTTTAGAACAAAGGTGACCTCTTTTGTCATAGCTCCTCAAAGATAATTTCTTTATCCAGAGCCTTTTGTTTGTCTTTTAATCTAATGGGTACCAAGCACTTATCAAGTTGAGTATTTTCCTAAGTACTTTATCTGTATTAATTCTTATAAAGCCCTGAAAAAAATCATATGGAATATTCTAGAGGAGGAAAAGTGAGGCTAAAAAGAAGTGTATTGAGAGGGTGAAATTCAGGTGGCAGGTCCTAGACAGGACATCCTCATTACTACCCAACCCTCTCACCTCATATTGGGGTCAGGCAACCAGGAAAATGTGCTGACAAACACACATTGTGATGAAGATAAAAATATTTATAATTACAAATTACATGCTCCAATTTAATAAAGCTGAAGAGAATTGCTCATTTAGGATCCAATTAATAAGAAATAAAGCAATGGCTCCCAAGCTGGAAAAGACAGTGACTCACTTTCTTGTCTCAAGCATTAGAGGAAGTTTGAGTTCCCAGCATGACAGTCCTATTCAGGAAAACTTAACAGTGTCTTTACTGTTTTGCTTTGGAGCTTAAAATTCCCCCAGAGGCCCATATGCAAGGCGTGGTTGCCAGCCTGTGGTGCTGTGAGGAGGTTGTGGAACTTTTGGGAGGTGGAGCCTAGTGGGAGGAAGTTAGGTCACTTTGGGTGTGTCCTGGAAGGGGATATTGGAACCCAAGCCCCTTCCTCTCTCTCTTTGCCTCCTAGCTACTGTAAGTAAGCAGTTTTCTCCATCACATGTCTTCACCATGATGTACTGAGCCATCTCAGGCCCAAAGAGAGAAGGACCAAACTGAAACCTCTGAAACCATGAACTAAAGTAAGCCTTTTCTCCTTTAATTTGACTGATCTCAAGTACTTTGTCATAGAAATGAACAGGTGACTAATACCCTGATTCACAATGTATAATCGAAGAACTAGAAATGAAAACTACAATAAATTCACAAGGCGAGGGGGATTGTTATTTGGAACATCATCAACCTGTTCATCTCTGTTTTCCAAACTTTTTTTCCTGGACCATAAAAGCCTAGTTTAAAAGTATATCTTCTTTAAAAAAAAAATCCATGTACTTCAGTTTAAAATGTTCAACATAACTCCGACTGCCATAATGTATTTCAAACCTACTTTCTGCACCAGCAATTTATGAAATAAATAAGATTTGTGACTAAAAAAATTGTTTAAAGAAACTTGGGAGACAGTACTCCAACTTGGTTTCTCATTTCCATCTTTGGTGAAGGAGTTTATCTTCAGCAACGAATTCATCTTCCAGAAGCTTCCACGTCACACAGTGATGTCACAAACAGACACTTGAGGAGACAGTGTATCTCTGGGCTTAAGGAGGGTTAACATTCTTCCAGGCTTCAATGTAAGCAGCAGGACTCACTGAACCAGCCTCACTGTCAGCGGCCAGTGTTATCAGCACAAATCTCAGCGTGGCAGGGCTGACTGCACTGGGACCACTCTGGAGCCCTGTTACACTAGTTGTACCTGGCAGGCCGTGTTGGCTCTGTGCAAAGATAAAACAAAAAGTCCCTGGGCAACCTCAGGCTATCTGTCTCGGCTGCACATGCTGCCGGCTGCAACTTTGTAGTTTATGTAAAAATAGTTGTTTTCTGAAATGAAATGAAAGCAAGTGGAAGGGTAGCAAGCAGAGACCGCAGCTGAGAATGAATGTGAAACACAGAAGCCTGAGCTGAGAATTCTGTTGGGTGAGTTGTTCCGTGGTTGACTGACAGCCAGGAGGCAGCCACATGACTTGCCCTTGATGTCTTGGTCAGTCAGTGTACACAAACAGTTGCTGTAGGTAGAAACATATAAGTGTTCCAAAAAAGTGGAATATTATAATCTTGAGCAGATATTTTTTCTGCTCCTTATATTGACACTGAATGACTGCTTAAGCAGGACATAAAGTATTTATTATTTATACTTAAGTATTTCAGAATACATTTTTCCTGCAAAATCACAAAATCACATGCACAAGGGCTTAGTGGGTAGCTCAGTGATAGAGCAAGTGAGCAAATGCTTAGTATTCATGCTACCCACTTCTCTTCCATTAAAACAAACAAACAAACAACTGTACATTTTAGATACCTGATACTATTTTTTTTTTTTAGTTGTAGTTGGACACAACAACTTTATTTCACTTGTTTATTTCTGTATGTGGTGTTGAGGATCCAACCCAGGGTCTGGTACGTGCAAGGCAAGCACTCTAACACTGAGCCACAACCCCAGCCCCCTGATACTATTTTTTGGTTGGTAACAAGTTTCTTCTTTCTCATTCTTCTTTTTCATATATGGATTCATGGTCACCTATACTATGTCAACACTTTTTTTTTTTTTAACTATTGCTAGGAGTTGAACCTAGGGTCTCACACACTCACTGGACAAGTGCAATACCGCTGAGCTACATTTCCTGCCCTACACTATCAACTTCTGAACTTTGTTTAAGAATCTTTAAGCTGATTGCAGTGGTGCATGTCTCTATTCTCAGCAGCTCAGAGGCTGAGAGAGGAAGATTGCAAGTTCAAAGCCAGGCTCAGCAACTCAGAGATGCCCTAAGCTAATTTAATGAGACCAAAAATCTTTAATGTTAGATTTCTTTAGAGAATAGTAGTCATCTACTCTTATGAAAAAAAAATTACAAACCAATCTTAAGTTGCAAAGGACAATTTTTCCTAAGCCAAAGTAGCAATTATAAAATTAAGCATTTCTCCTTTTCTTTAAAGCCAAATAAATATATAATGGGCTTAATATGTTTTTTTTGTATTTACCTAAAAGTTTGATGATGGAAATGTAACAAAAATGTGAAGATATTAATTTCTTCTTCTTGAGATTGGGTTTGTTTTCTAGCTTTTAACTATTATATTTTGAAAATATTTTAATTTTGTAAAATTCCAATGATGGAGGTTGGGATGGGAGAACTCCAGAACAAAGTTAGAAAACAGAGAGAGGGAGAACAAGAGGTCTTTGGACAGGAAATACTCAATCACTGCCTGGCCTCTCTGTTCCACATGTGCCCTGAGAATTGGGATGCTCCCAAGGCAGAGGGTAGGAACTGCATCCACAGACCGGAACGAAATCCATAATGTCACCTGTCAAGCTCTGAGATTTGACAGATAGTGAAGAAGTTCCTAACAAGGAGGACGTCAGAACTAAGGGATATCTAGAGTTATTCTTAGAGCTCTCCTGCCAGAGCAAATGTGTGATTTTAATTAAGATTAGATTTTATTTGGGGGACACAGTGGTATGTGCCAAGGAATATTTCCCTCTTCAAAGGCTCCCTCACTTTGGTGGATAGTAATATTTACTGTTGTACAGTTTCACCAGGAACAAGGGAAGGTGGAATCTGTCAAGTGAGCAGAAGATGTTCCAAAGCCTAGGCTTGAAATCACCAGGAAACATCTTTCTCACCCTCAAGGTATAAGAACTGCAAAACATTCCATGGAAAATTACTGAATGCATTTAAGAGAAGTTGAGACCAGAATTTCTTCTGAGAGGAAATAAAAATAGGAATAATGCCCACAGGTAAAGCCAAGATGGGGCTCTGAGGCCAATGGCCTTTCATCATGGCCTTGTCATTCAACTTTCCAGCCACTGGATAGGGTCAAAGGCAGAGACAGGGGATAATCCAAATATTCCTTTAAATCTGGGATCACAGATCTCGATTCTTCAGTCATTAATTTTGCCCTTTTATATAGTTTGCATCCTCCATTGATTAGTAATAGTACTTTCAGCAATTCTGGTATCTTCTGTGATGACCTAAGGGGGAAAGGCATCCTACCAAGCTTTGTTCAGAACACAGAGATGAGCACTCTGCCTGGATGGGTGGCCTGTTGCCATAGCAGCATAGAGTGTGGTCTAAGTATAGAGTTTGTGAAATGTTCTACCCATGGAAGAAGTTTTCAAAAATAGAACACAGCCTATTCTAACCTAAATCCACAACATTTTCTTGCCAGTATCTATCAGGGGTTTCTAGAAACCTGAGAGAAGACTAGAACAGCCAGACAGCACAAAAGTCAGTCACTGAAAATGGCCATCATTCTTGGTCAGTCATTTTCCTTCTGTGAAGCCCCAGGTGAAATGATCACTCTTCTGTAAAAGACAGATGTTTGTCTATAAAAGTCTGCCTTTCTGGGCACCGGGGTTGTGGCTCAGCGGGAGAGCGCTTGTCTTGCACCTGTGAGGCCCTGGGTTCGATCCTCAGTACCACATAAAAATAAATAAGCAAAATAAAGGTATTGTGTCCATCTACAACTAAAAAAAAAATTAAAAAGACAATGTCTGCACTTCTGGAGGAAGCTCAATGAAGTGGCATGATAGTACCCAAGAAGTGATGGTCTCAGAAATAATCAGTGTTGTGATGAAGGAGAACATGAGACTTTTCAGATTTGTACAATGAGGGAATGTGCAGCAGGTACACACACACATACACACACACACAAGCACATACATCCACAAAGGAAAAAAGGATAGTTAAGTCATATATCTATATATTGTAGCTTTCAACATCAACTGTTTGTGTATGTGCGTGTGTATGCACATGTATGTTATTAAGGACTAAATCCCTAAGGGCCTGTTTGAAACTCCAAGTCCTGCAGTAGTAGAAAAGTCCTATTGTGTGGAATGTTGACTTTCTGTCCTGACATGACTGCTAATTCCCCACTGCTAACCTCGAAGTACACCCAATGGCAGATGTTCTGTGATAGAACTGTGTTACACATATGAGGACACATGTAAAGTAGGACATAAAATTTTAAATAGATATTAAATCAAACGGAGGTTCTAAGGTGTTTCCTAGTCCTTCAGAGGTGACCTAAAATGAGTTTGTTTCAGGAGAAGCTGTGAGCCTTTCTTTTCTCATCTGGATCCTCATCCCACACAGCTGGCTCAATACCCTGAGATCACAGCGGGAGTAGTCCCCCTGTCCAGGGTCGGGGGCATCCAGATCACTGCCCTGGAGACTAGAGGAACCAATGGCTTCTTTTTACTTTGTGGTCACTTCAGACACCTTCTTCCTTACGTTCTATCCTCTTCCAATGTCACTCCCCCTTCTTTGTACCCTATGCCCTTCCATCACTGTGTACATTACATTGAGATTCAATACATTATTTATACAACAGTCTGTGTTATTGGACTATGAGCACTTCAATGCCACCACTTTAGTTCATACACTTACTAAGCAAAGGTTGTATAAATTTCTAACCTTTCATCACCAGTATCATCACTTCCATATCCTCTGCCACTTTATTTAAATCTCACTTGAGGAATAATTGCTATGATAACAGCAATACAGTTCTAAGAATATAGCATTTATTGCAAATCCCAATTTAGTTCCTAATGTGATTTATTTGTTTTGCGTAAGCTAAACACCAATGAGTAGCTCCTTCATAAAACAGAGGCTAGAGATTTATTTCAAAAAGGCAAAATTTCTACTTTAATTTCTCAAAGACAAAAAAGATTTTCTGAAATTTTGCTTCGGCACCCCCAAATTTCTTCTGATTTGACTCTTAAGAGAATAAATTGCAAACTAACAAACAAGAATGTATTCAAAAAGCGAAATAAGACTGTAAAATGACCATTACCTTGTCTCACTTTAATGTCACCATGAGTGTTACTTATTATTTATATAAAACTGAGATCATGTAGAGAGCACATGGGTACTGTTCATCAAGATCTCTCCACCTCTCTGCATAACAGAGACACTGAAAGAACATGGTTCAACAGTAAAGCTAGAAACACACACACAAGTGATTACCTCCAAAATGGAAAAATAAATGTGTTCATTTCATGTTGTAAAATATGGCGAATTGGAGGATAGAAATCAGACCCATCCTTTCATATGCTGGTCATCTTTTCCATCTTGAAAAATACACTTTAGCATTTTGTACCTCAGTGGCTGATGTTACTTGCTTGAATGAATCCTTACCAACAGGTAAAATATCATTTCGATTACTTTGTGCCATTTCAAAACCGAGGTGACTCACTCAGTAATGAGATAGAGTAAAAAGCAGTTGTTTTTAGTGGGTTTTTCCTGGGGCTTGGAATCATTTTAATTTACTTGTCCCAGATGCCACATTTCATCTAGTTGGTATTCCCTCCGTTACCGGGCTTCTTTCTCCTTACTCAATAAATATGGAAATCTATTCCTCGTCCAGTTTGAACATTGTAATTTTTATAGCAGTTTTACTCTTTCTGACAAGCATATTTCCACTCTTCTTTTTAGTCCTGGAGAATGTGAAGAAATGCATTTTTTCCTGAAAATTCTTGCATGTGTAACATATACTTCAGGGTTTAAATTTTCTGCATGCATTGTTTAATTAGTTTCTACAAAAAAAGACCTCACAAATGTTCTCTCCACACCAGGAAACGGAGCAGAGATAGATGTTGTGGAATGAGGAGGGCTGATCTGGCTGAGACTAAATTCAATTTCTAAGTCCAGTTTTAAGGTGCTTCCCTCCCTCTCCTTTCATTTGAGAGGAAGAGCAAGCCTAGAACATTATTCTATCTCAGAATCATAAAGGTTTCAGACCTGTACACAAATTCGATTAGAATCTTTTACCTTTCTTGAAATCCCTTGTAGAAAAAGACAAGTTTAACAAGGGCAGTAAATAAGTAAACAAGTAATTTAAAAATTAATGATACATTAAGACAAGGCTCCTTCTTTATAACTTTGTCTCGCTTCTTTGTATCCTTTAATGACTCAGCACCTCTTCTTGTACTTTTTATGATTTTTAAAAAAGATTTGCTACTTTTGGTACTGAATTATATCAGTGTGCTCTACTAGGAGAAAAACATGACATGAAGAATATTTATGGGCAGATATGCTGTGGCTCCCCCTTTCAGACCCAGATAGCTGTGGTGGTGGCTTTCCTACCTAAGAGTTTTTAGAAATGCATGACTACATGAAACTCATGTCTTCCTATGTGTAACCAGAGCGCAACTGGATAACCCCTGTGACCTCACCAAAATACATGGGACTGTCTCCAATGCAAAACAGGTTTTTCCTCCAAGTGTTCACAGAGAGAAAGATCCAGGAGCCCATTACCCATTAGGTAAGAAAGGTATTTACAAGCATATTTGATAAGCATTGTACCAAGTGGAGAGCTACAGAGAAAGAGATCGTTATGAGTAGCTCAGAGAAACAGAATCAAGGAAAAAAAAAAAAAAAAGCCAGACTGGAGAGCCTTGGATTAGAACTTGAACTGGTTTTATTTTTTCTATATTGGGGATCTAACCCAAGACCTCATGCATTCTAGGCAAGCGCTCCAACACTGAACTATGCACCCAGCCTAACATTTTAATTATTAATCATAGCAGTCTAAAAGATGTATCTGTTCCCCAAAAATTAGGAACAGAGATTAAAAACTCATTGCTTACAAAGATTCTAATAACTGAAACAATCAATTCAGATAATCTGTTTTGAATATGAAAGTCCAAAGGCTAAACTTGATCTGAAATAATAGGATAGTTTGAGTGCAAAAAAAGAGGTGAATTGTCTATGATTTCTGAATCCTTCCAACAGAACACACTCCAAAAATCATCAGTTACTAATTTATTTTATTAATTCAGTTCAATCTGTTACTTCCTAGACCTACCAAATGTTTTCTTTGGCATTACATTTATAATCAAAATGTTTGCTTTAAAATTAAAACATTTGTTTTGGTGACATGAGTTTTCAAGAGCAGCTGAAATTTCCAGTAACTGAAAAGAAACTAAATTCGAATTATTTAGAGTATTTTTTTTCATCTCATTGGTAACCAGACTAGCATTAAGGGAGAACAAGATATTTTTGCTTTTGAGATTATAGACATGACTGGGAAAAAAAAAAGATTTAAAAACAATCCAAATGGCCAGTTCATTAAAAATAAATCTGGTGAGCCATGCATGGTGGCTCATGTCTATAGCCCCAGCAAATCGAGAGGCTGAGGCAAGGGGATTGCAAGTTTGAGGTCAGCCTGGGAACTTAACGAGAGACCAGGTCTCAAAATCAAAAATAAAAGGCACTGAGGATGTAGCTCAGAGGTAAAGTCCACAGGGTTCAATCTCCAGTACCACCACCACCACCACACACACACACAGAGCCTAATGAAGTCCAAAAACAAATGATGAAAGCTGAATTATTTGATCCTTGGAACATCAGTAAATAATTTTAAGAAGAAAGAAGAACTTAAAGCACTACGAGTTGTATCATTTGAAAATAAACATTAAGGTTCTATGGTGCAGCCAGTCCCCCCACCAAAAAAAAAAAAAAAAAAAACTGAGAAATAAAGTTGACAAAGTATTTGTCTGAAAAATAGAAAACAGGAGCTAAAGGGATTGTCCAGACTGTGATAATACTGCAGACCCCGAAGGAAGTGGGGAGAGATGGAATTGCTGGGGTTAGTGGCCACCTAAGGCATATTTTGATATGAAACATGAATTTTACAAAAGAGGTTTGCTCACTTTTTAAGGTGAGATGCTGATGCAGGACATAACTGAAAGGGTATAGATTCAAGCGGGATTGTATCAATGTGTAACAAAGACAGGCAGAGGAAATCACTGGAGGCAACTGTACCCTAGATGGAACAGCTAGGTGGTATCTGTTTTTTTAGAAAGAGGTATGAGGAGCTATCAAGTCAGATTCACAGTGTGACTCAGGGGAATTTCTAGAGAAAAATCAGATTTGTTAACTTGAATGAGTTGCTATTATGTCATGGTTGGGAAGAAACAGTCAAGCCATTTTATATGATCCACATAGAAGCTGATATGATAGACACAAGAGGGGTTGCATTGATTTTAATATTCAAATTTAAAACTTAAAATAATGTCAATGTATTTTTCTTTAGGATTCTACAAGAGCAGAAATCAAGACAGGAAGATGAAGGTGAATGGGAATCTAAATGTTTAATCAAAATACAAGTAGAATTTTTTTTTAAAAAAAAAACACAATTGGGTACCCTTAAAAGTGTCGTGTCTTTATAGAGAGTAGAATTTGATCTAAAGAGATCCACTAAGTATACGGTAAAAGAGTGGGAAATCCTTGGGAGGAAATGAAAAGAATGGATGTGTATATTCAGTTCTTGCAGATAATAGCTGTGGGGGTATAGAATAAAGCTAAATCAAATTGATTGGCAGCAGGGGAGAAGTGATATTAAAGAGAAAGTGATAAGAAAGGAAAATTGTGTCTATGGTTATACACTCTAGAAATAATAAAGTAATTATAGCGAAGACACTATGGGAATACCCAGCCTGTATAAAGAGGTGCTAGAGGCTAGGTGAATATTATTTAAAGTTCATTGGAAAAATGAGCTGGATGCTATAGAAAAATGCAATTAGATATTTTACTATCAGAGAGATTTATAATTGACTCCAATTTTTTTTCTTATAAAGTACCTTTTAGATCAACCCAAGAGTACCAGAGTTTTCTTGTTTAGAAAGACTTAGTTTGGCTTTGGATCTTTTAATTTTAATTCTACTACCAAAAGGTGTAATTAACTTGACTCAGATCATTTAGCATAAGTTACTTAGCAGAGAACTTGCTCCAGATCTGTATTGCCTTGAATCTTTTATTATTGTCACATGCAGAAACTAAATGTTGAAAAATTGTCATGTTTGCTCTCTGTATAGCAATACTACATCAGTAGCCAGAAACATACACATTAACAATTTCAAAACCCCACTACAGATGAAATTCTCCTTTGTCACATATATGACTTTCAGATTAAAAATTCAAAATACTAAGTAAAATGCTAAAGTAATTCAAGAAATTAAATTCAAACCAGACAATTCAGTTATGAAATGTGAAGGTGCTTTTTTTAAAAAAATCTAATTTGTATGTCTTTCTGTCTACCTTACCACTAACCTATCTAGTGTCTCTAAGCCAGAAAGAGAATATGAATTCACAGTAGAATTATGAGAGCAACCTTAATATGATTGGTGATTAATGTATACACAAGAGAAATATCTGTAACAGTATCTCAAGCAGAAAGAGATCTGCTAACCATCTGCAAGAACTAAGATGAATTTTCATCAGCTTCCATTCATTCACCTCCAGTGTGGCCTCAAGGATCTTTCCCAAGTTATTGGTGTTTAGGACAAGTGTCAAGCTCTGGTTGTTCCAAGGTAAACTGTGATGCTGATTCATCAAAGAATCAACTATAACTTTCTAACAGTTGTTTTTGTTTTTCTTCTCCTAAATCTATACTAACACTTTTATGAGTTAAGTAATATTAAATATGGGTGGTCCAGTGTTTCTCACTTCTACCTGACACATACCTCACCCCTAAAAAGCTATTCTCAGAGACAGGCAAAATCTAAGAATGAGGAAAGCCATGTTAGCAACTCACTGCAATTCATCCATCATCAGTTTTGCTTGGAAGTCAAATGACAGGACTGAGTATAATTGGGTATATGGTATTTTGTACCTTACCCAGTTTTGTGATCACTCCGGGATGCAAATAAGTGTCAGTTATTGGTTTTATTTTATTTTATTTATTTTTATTTATTTTTTGAAGACTATATTGGGGTCTTTTAATTTTTATTTATTTTTTTCAGAATAACAGGCATGAGTTTACTGAAGGTATAGAACAAGGGAAAGGGACACTTTTAAAGGAGAGAGTGGGTCCTCTCAGAAATGAGAGTTTTTGTGAATCGTCTGCACTCCAGTTTTATTGGAGTGTCCCAGAGGAGTTTCAAAAGAGTCCCACTCAGGACCACATTTTGGCTTTTGAATGACACCTGTATGATTTCAGACTATAAAGTTCCCTTGGCCATAAAAATTCTAGGTCACTTTGGCCCTTGTTGACGTGTCCACATTGGAATTTTTTTTAAAGACAGTCCTGAATTTGAAGATAAAAAATAAGGACCTCTACAGATAAGGATCTACTAATGGAACAAAACAAGATTAAAATACTGTTTTGGGGGCAAATCTGGTTTGCTTTTTAAAAGAAATGTTATTATATTCAAGAAGAAATAACTATAAATTTGGTCAGATATAAAAATGAAAGATTCACACTGTTAGCTGCAAAACAAAAACAAATAGCAAACAGAAAAAAAAAATAAATGAAAAGATAGTCATAGGAGAAACATGTCTTATATATAAGGGGGCCTGAGCAACTTTCCACTAATCAATGAAAGTCTCTATTTTCAAAAATCCTTGACAATGGTATGATGAAAAATACCAAAATATTTTATTTAAAAATAAAAGCATGTAATAATATGAAACACCAACAATTTAAAATGCCTTCTGTGTATTTAATATGTATATGATACCACCAGGTAAGTAAAAATTACAATTTTTTTGTTTTGTTTAATAAGTGGAAAAAAACAGTAAAGGGCCAGTAAAGTAAATATCACAAAATGATCTTTCTCAGCAGGAATAAATTAATTATTAACATTAAGCAATTCTGCTGCAGAATAAATGCACTAGAGTTCACATCAACTGAAGTCATTTCTTGATGTTCTTAAATTGTTAGAAATGGTGCCTCAAAATGAGTAAAAAGGGATTTGTACATACAAACAAACACTAGCACGGAAAATTCCATTTCTTTCCATTGAAACCTATATCACATTGAAGCTTTAATCTGTTTTCTTATTTTTAACATGAGGTCTTTGATCAGTTTTTAATAAAACTGATCTTTGGTTTTATCTTCTTTCAAAAATAAATGGATGTGATTCATTTTAAATAAATAACGGATCAAACTTCCAAACATGTTTATATATTTACTCCTCTTCAAGCAGTTACAATGTTTGTTGTATTGACTAGAAACAAACAAACAAACAAAAACCCTATTCTGTTATTTCAATTAGAAAAGAACTTGAATGTTATTATTTTCAATGCCTCTTTCTCCTCACTTGGTGACTTATGTATAGCCAAATAAGAATTGAAATGTTTTCTTTTTCAGATGTGATTGAAGAAAATATTGTGTTACCATGACTCCTCAGCTGTGAAGTTCTTTATTTTATCTTATGTACTCTATTCTCACCTGAGCCCAGTGCATTCTCAAAGTGCCATTAGCAATGAGATTTTAATGAGTGCCATAAGGAAGAGAGCACTGCAGTCTTTATGGAAGTTCAGAATTCATGATGATTATGGAAAAGCACAACACAAGATTTTTTTTTTCCAACAATGAAAGGCAAGAAAGGAAAAAAAAAAGAATGAATAAAATGTTTGGATTTTCCGATGTTAAATGATTGAAACAGTTTCTATTTAAATGCAAATTTGACTTTTTAAAAGATGGGACTACCCGTAACTGCACCCTAAATGGTAAAATGAAAATCAATTTGAAATATGGGATGAATAAAGTATATGTGGACTTTCTGGGAATCATTTTTTATTATGAAAACCCTGATGTATTTTCCTTTGCTCAATCCATCTTAGACTTTGGACAGTTATGTTTAGGGTGAAATGCAAACATTTTTTTAATTTATTTAAGCACAAACATGATCAGCTCACTAGCTTTCCTTTTTATTAAGGTTGGATTCCACGAAATCATGATCAACAGGATGATGTATGTAAAATACAAGACCAAAAATAAGAGTTTAACTGCAGCATTATAATGACCAATATTCACTACGTGTTTTTTTATGATGTTGGGGAAATCACTTTTAAGAAATGGAAATCACTACATTCTATCGATTCAAGAACAGAATCTTCAGACATAAGTCAGCAGAGTTGACACTTTCAAATACATAAAATGTGACATCTGCTCTTACAAATGCACTATCCAGGCTGTAAATCATCAAAGAGAAAAACAGTTCAATGTCATTTCAGCCACTGTAAGCTATGGTTTACAACTGAGAGATAAAAATAGTCATACCGTCTCTATGACATCTAAACCACTTTTCTATTGCAGTATTCCATGTTCTAATTTATCTTTGTGGTTGAACAACACACAATCAATTGTAAGCAACTAGTGTAGTTTGATTCCAGTCAAGTGCAATTTTCTATAGCTTTATCTTTCCCCCCACTGAGGTGACTTTGAGAAATATCCACAAAACACTATCTCAATTTTTGTGGTTGCGTTGGCTTTTATGTCAAGCTGTGAGCCATCCTTCTGGGCTCACATATGGCACTCATCCATGCATTACATTTACATTTCATGAAACAGAGACTTTAACACTTGTATGCATTATAATAATTAAAGATCTGTTACAAACTAGAATAAAATGACTTACTAAACTTAAGATTAGAAAGAGTATGGGTTTGAAGTAAGGTTGTTCACGGCCCACTTTTATTGTTGTTTTGTTTTTTGGTACGAAGCTATGCCCTCAGCTCTTTTTATTTTTTTTTATTTTGGGAGAGAGTCTTACTAAGTGTCTGAGGCTGGCCTCAAACTCACAGTCCTCCTGCCTCAGCCTCCCTAATCACTGGGATTACAGGTGTGTGCCAACATCCCTGGCTTCTCTCCATTATTAACCATGAAAATTTGGGGAGATTATTTAATCTCTATGAGACTCAAGTAAATTGCCTGAAAAATAGGATAAAATTCCTATCTTTCAGGAGCAATTTTAAAGACTGAAACAAAGTAAATATCTAATATAGTGCTAGACACATAGTCCAGGCATTGTGGTAATTAGTGACTGTTATTATTCATTTTTTTATTATTATCACTGTTAACCTAATAACATCTAATACTTTTCAGTGGTCACAGTAAATAACAGTATTTGTTCACTTATTCCAGCACTAAAAGAAATCTAACTTGTAGCCTATGCCTAGATTATGTGGTTGTGTTTTGATTCTATTTTGCAAATAATGCTATTATTTAAATATTTTTAGAAATTTATTTCATGTAATCTCAACATGAAAATGTCATTCTTATAAGTGGATTTTAATTTTTACCAATGAAAATTATCACAAGTATTACAATTATAAATTATTTAAACATGGTAAACTTCTAAATAAGTCTAAAAAGAAGGTGATACTTTCTACAAATTCATAACAATTAAAAAGCAGTCTTAATTGGAAAATGAGATCCTATATAATAATGGATTCTTACACATACATAATTGATCCATATAAATAATGGATTCTTACATATACAAATGATGATGCTACTAATCACACTGTTATGTTTATTAAATAATAACATTATCTTGGAAAAGTAAGAATTATTACAATAATATTTAACTGTATAGTTTTTCATTACAATTTACCAGAAGTATAGCCATTAGTCTTCAAATTTTTAACTTCTTTCTTTCTTTTTATTTATTTTTTTAATGATCATGAAACAACAGAGAAGGGTCTGCTAATCAAATTGGCTTTGGATTGACGAACTTGTTCAGTGACAAACTTCTTGGAATAGGAACACTTTGTCTTTTATGTTTTCTCCACCTACTGCAGGGAAGCTCAAAGCCCAGTCTACTCATGTCCACCAGTCCCTTGGCTGACATTGAAAGAGAACTGCTATCCTGGGTGGATTTAAGGCGTTAACTTAGCAATTCAATGCAGTTTCTTTCTCAGATCATTTATTTATTAGTACACACTCCAGGGTGTGAACTTGTCAGATTATTGTAGGCACAGCCTTTGGCTGCCCTCCATGCCTCAGTTTATCAAAAGCACACACAGGCATTGTGGAACACACTCCTTGTCATGTGCTCATGCTTATGGATCCATTTCCCATGAATTCCTGATTGTCTATAGTGTTGGAATAAGCATGGCAAAGCTTGTCACTTTCATTTGTCAGAAAACAAATGTCTGGGCGTTTGTTTATGTTTTAGATGCATTGTGTCTGTGCTTCTTTTACTTAGTAAAAGAAAATGTCTTGTACATCCCTCCTAAGCCTCTGGTCTTTGCCCACATATGCAGGAACATATATTATGAGGTTCCTGAGGAGGAACAAAAGGTATGGTTTCAAAAAAAGCCAGGATGCTCTTTTGCTAACTCACTGGGTTCCTTTGTGGGCTTTTATAGTAATTCTATGCCCTGATGGATTTACTTTCCCTTTTGAAAAAAGTAGCTTCTGCTCTATTATGATGGATGCTTTCACTGGAGGAAGGGATAGGAGGAGAAGGCAGAAAATAGTTGTGACTGGGCACATGCATGCTCACATGTTTTTGATCCCTTTAGGTTCTATAATTCCACCACTACTATCAAGGACTAGATTGCAAATTTATCATGAACCAGTGTCTCGTCTTTTCTGTTCTTATATTTCATACAAAGGACTAATATATATCTTATCCTTTAGCAACATTCATTAAATGTTAACTTAATATTGACAGCAATACCAGCAACCTTCTTTTAAGCATAATCTGAAACTTGGGATTTAGGTACTCTACTGGTCTTTAATTCTTTAACAACTAGTTGTAAACATTTAACCGAATTTAGAATAACTGGATCTTTTTGAGCACAAACCCCTAGATCAAAAAATAGCTCTTGGAGAAAAGGAAAATATATTTAAATGCAAGTATTTAGCTGTCTCATTCAATTCTCAAATTCTAAGTTCTTCTCTGGAGCCTCTTTTCTAACTCTAGAATGGACAGATTTCTTAGTTTTCATAAAGAATAATGCTGAGGACTAGAGGGTATAGCCCAATGGTAGAGTCTTCACTTACAAAATAATAATAATTGTTCTAATTACAATAATGGTAAGCACAGGCATGCACTTACTGTACAGTTATTGATAGAATGAATCCCATTGGGTAACAGTATCCCAGGTTGCAAAGGCTAAAAGATGCCAGAAGTGCTTATCACCCCATGCCTAACAATAGTGCATTCCCCAATCCCTTTCTCTCTTCCATTACCCTCAAAAACCCCCACTACTTCTCTAATGTTCTCAGAGCTGTCAAAATCTCCACTGCTCTGTTGAAAAATAAGGTAGCATCATCATTTTTTTCAATTATGCCAACATTTTTATTATATGCTATGTCTTTTGACATAGTTGGATGAAATTCTTTTCTTGAAAAATTAATTAAATCTACTGAGAATGTGTCTAACATAGGAAGAAAACCAGAGAACTGTTCCTCACAAACAGAGCTTAATGTAAACTCTAAAGCATTTCATAAAAAAACAGTGTGTGTAACTAATTTAGATGGAGGATGGGGGTCTAAACTACCTACTGAAATCTAAAAAACAGTGCATCAAATAAATTTAAACCAAGGACCTATGTTAAAAAATGTATATATATGAAGGGATGCACACTGTTCAGTTGAAATTAGAAATCAATGAAGAAATTTTGAATGATGATATCTGAGTGATGTAATCTGTTTCCTACGAAACCACAATTTCAGTAGGAATGAATACTATTGTTAAATAAAAAATAAAAATTCTTTTAGTGCTTTCTAGAGTAATATATGGGGAATATAAAAATAAATAAAGTAATGTTTGGCTTTTGAGGATAAATTATTATCATTCTGTCCATGAAATTATATGATATACTGACATTATTTAAATATTCTTTAAAGATATTAAAACACTGGGGTAATGGCAATTCTGACATCTTCTGTCAATCTGGGATAACCAACTAGGAAAGTTTATGTGAGGGTTGGAAGCTATTACTGAAAAGCTTTCTTTCTTAAGATAATCCTACTTGTTTTCTAATTTAATATGGCTATCTTTTTACAAGCACTTATCTTTCACCTGTTCATGTTGAATTTAAATTTGAATTCATGGTTGTTTTGACCTTCAGAATAAAGCATGCCACACATTTTTTTTTTCATTTTTACAGACTAATTTTTTTACCCTTATCAATTTCTTTTATCACAGGAAAATTGCTTTAATTGGAGTGATTTCCATTTTCTCAGGCCAACTGGTAAAAGGCCGGTTGAATTATCTGTTCATTTGTTTGGATGGAGGTCTAAGCTATACATACATTTACAAGTTATCTTAATTGTCCAAGTTTTGAGACTAATGTAGGCTGAATATCTTGAAGAAATTGTTCAGGTCTAAATCGCTATCTGTGTGACAATTTTATTAACAGATTAAAAAATAAATGAGAAACAGTGGGGGTTCTATTAGATGTAGTTACCGGTCAATAAAGGGGAAAAAAATCTGCACTCACTCCAACTATGTCCTGCAGGAGGCGCTGCTGAGCAGTTTATTTGCCCTTAATGCTAGGTCTGCCTGTCCTAAACCCTAAAAGGACTAGTGCCACATGCTTAGGCTGCTTGAGGCAGATGCCTCCAAATACCACCCCTGGCCCCACCAAGAAAAGAAGGATTGCTCTTGAAAGTCCACGAGACTTTAAGACCACT